ACATGATGTCTAAAGTGGTGGATTTTAAAATGTCGCTTGGTCTGTGGATTAGGCCAATCCATCCCACATTGTTGGGGCTGCAGATGCAGTTGAATGCTGCATAATTATAGTCTAAAGAAACTGCAGACAGCGACAGAGCCAACCCAGACCCTTTCTCTCCTGACAGCCCATGCCAAGCTGTCTCCCACAGGGAACGATAGTGCGGTTATCCTGCAATGCATTTGCCCAGAGACAACACATCCGGTGCAGGGAATACTGCTGGATTTCTAGAAATCGAGTCTGATCATCTGTTTTTTCCTGTGTCCACTGTATCTTGCTTTCTGTCTCAAGGGTGTCTGGTAACAGATGAGGCTGAATGACAGTGACTTCTCCTGCCAAAGTGAAATCTGTAAATGCCAGGAGAAGCTGGGGAGAGAGGTGCAGTCCAAGGATCGGGTTCTAAGACCAACGATGCCTGTTTTAGGTTGTGTGGCTCTGAGTGGAACGACTTCCTCTCACTCAAACTCATTTTTCTCCTCTGTCAAATAGGAGGGCTGGACTTGGAGAGCACTAATAGACTCCCACCTGGCTCTGATACGTGACAAATCCAAGACCCAAGGTTTTGTCTTCAAAGAGGCACCACAAATGTGATCTTCCTTCAGAATTTGAACTATCACTTTCTGTGATCTTAAAGCAAATATAAATCTGCAGTTTTCCTCTCTGATCAGGTAGTGATGGAATTTCTCAAGTGAGGCCAATGCTGGGTAGGTTCCCATTCAAGAACTGAGGAAAGGGCTTGAAGAGATTTTAAAATTAAACGTGATCGTTGTCCCCATATCTCCCTGGAGACAGTTCAGGTAAACTGAGGATCCACGCTGTTTTGCAAAGGGATGGCCAGACAGATTTAAAGTGATTTCTCACATATTGTACCTTCTACTGGATCTTAATTACAGGAGTCAAATACTTATGCTGAGCCAGACACTGTGCTAAATGCTTTGCATGTATTATCTCATTTAATTATCCAAATAGCCCTAAAAGGTGGGTGCTATCATTATCCTTACTTGAAACATGGAGGCCCTGAGGTTCAGGGTTGTCTAAGCGACTTACCTGTGGTAATTCAGCCCACGAGATGGTGGAGTTAGAATTTGAACCTCAGTGTTATCCCAAAGCCCACACTACTCACGATCACCTTTATCATAGAGAACTTTCCAGGGCCAGCAGTCCTCCAAGTCCTGCTCTCTGCCCACCCTCCTGCTCCGCCCATCTTCCCGCCTCTTACCCTCATTGTTCATTGTCCCTTCTAAACAATAGCCAATGAGTCTATCACAGGGTAGGGGGAGCTAGGGGTGATTTTATTCCCTAAAACAGAGATGAGGTTGAGACACAAAAAGGTTAAGTGGCTTTGGTGACATCACAGAGACAGCCTACAGTCAGCAACTGCATGATCTGAGACTTGGGTTCCTGAACTTTTGGCACCCGAGTTTAATTAAGAGAGTTATTTTAATTTTCCTTCCTTTCTCTGATTTTCCATTATATTGCTGCTTAATAATGGTAGATATTGAAGCCCCAGGCGTTGTTTCCCCCAGTGTGCTTTTTAATGACTAAACTTATCACATAGAAACCACTGCTTTAGAGGTGAGCTTTCGAAGCCTGTTTCTGTGTACGACGGGGACTGCTGCCTTTTCTCAGAGAAAAACGAGACCACAAATGCAGCTTAGACAGGTTGTTGTTAATTGAGGGCTCTTTTTTTTTTTTCCCTAAATCTTACATTTATACCAGTAAATCAACATCTGTGAGTCATAAACTGGTTCTGGGTCAGCCGTTACTGGTCTGTTTTTGTATCTACCTTCAACAAAGCATATTTTAGCTCAAAACTCAGAGATTCTTTGTTTGGTGAAGTTCAAGATTCAGGAGTAGGCAAATAACATTCTAATACACTTCTGGAGAGGGAGAGTCTGTCTTCCGTGATTGTTTAAAATTGCGTATATATTTATATTTCCTTTTTGTAAATAAGGAACCTTTTTATAAGGTTGGAGGGGAGTTCAGGGAGGAGTATAAAGAAAGGAGAAAGTTAATGTTTTTTACCTACTCCATGTGTTTGAGAGAATTCCTGTACAAAGGTGACTATTTTCTTGATATTATTAATGTCTAGCTTCATACCCCTGTTCCCCAACTCCCCAGACGTTTCTTGACTCTTATTGACTTGATGTTCCTGGTCTGAGGAGTTTCAGCACTTGGTTGAATGTAATTAGCTAAAGCCTAAGGAGTGCTTAAACACACAACTCTGTTTTTTCCCAAGTGCACGAGGACCAGGCTGCTGCATTACGAGCAATAGCAAACAAGTATTTCTTTGGTTGATTTTTTTCCTGAGTGCCTTAAAAACCAGGTATAGTCTTGACATATCTTGCCCAAGTGGATGGAAGGCAAGGTTCAGCTGCTCTTGTTTTGCTGGTAGGGAAACTGAGGCACACATGAAAGTGGACACGAGCGCTGGGGACAGAGATTCTGCTCTACTGTGAGGGACAAAGGGCAGATCTGGAGGCAGAACTGCTGACATTGTTCAGTTCATCTTCACAAGCCGTGGCCTATCAAACTCAACCGCTGCACTAGGAAGAACTGGTTGCAAAGTAGAAGCCCATGGTGACCAGAAGGCTGATCGTTCATCACTCAACACAGATTTATCGAGCATCTGTAATGTCTTAGGCCCTGGGCTAGGCATGATTTTTTAGGATGTGGTAAGATAGAAATGTCATTTAAAGTCCTTATGAACATTTAGAAAAATCCACTTATGTCCTAAATAGAATATAAATTTCATTTTTCAACATTGATTAACCAAGCATGGCATTAACAGACCTGTAAAAATTTAGTTGTTAATATCCCAAATGTGCAAAAATATTTTAACCTGACTTTGTTAATGCTCTTCATCCTAAAGAAAGTTTCAACCAGATCCAAGGTTAGATGCATAACTCCCGACAGCATAAATATCCATAATTAGTATCGTCTAGAAGTGACTTTCCTGTCAGTCTGTGGTGGCTCCCGGCTATCTCCCAACCCTCTTGCTTTACTCAACCTCGTTCCTTGATTGGACATTCAAATATTTGGAGTTTCTGTGCTTCAGGACTGGGCTAGAGAAAGGATGATTGACTAGCTGAGTTGTCCTTGTTGAAGAATTAGAAGGAATAAATTTCCTCATTGTGAGAGTGGGAAGTGTTTACAGTTTAATCATGGTGGACTCTTTTAGTAGCTAATTTTGGTGGCTGTTAGCAGCAGTGTTTATGCTAGCCTGAGGAAGAAAGTTGAGGGGCAGCCTGGGTAAGATAGAAAAGAGTTGTTCTGAGGAAGCTGCATTTGAAAATAAAGAAGTACTCATACTTTGATTAAAAAATATCAGCATTTTCTTAAAACAATAACAACAAAGCAAAATTCCCCAAAGCAACTCTTGATTTGCTCGTTTCATCTCCTGACGTTTTCGTAGTGGGTAAAGCAGCATTGAGTCAGGAACCTTTTCTCTGCTGCTCATTGGGATGTGTGAATGTACAATCCATTCATCAGCTGTTTCCCTAAGCTTTCCCAGGACCAGAAGTGTCTGTTCTTGTCATCTGGAGGCCAGCATTGTTTTCTCATACCTTTTGGAAACACAGCTGGGTTGCAACAGTCTTTGTTCTTTCAAAAATTAGGGTTATCACATACAAATATTTTCCTCTGGTCACTGAGGAGGGGCCTAATCGGGAGCCGGAGATTTTTCCGTCCCCGGCTTCTCCCCTGATTTGCTGTGGGAAACCTGCAAGTTAGTAATGATCCAAGGGGTTTAGATGGAAGTGAGCAGGTGTGTTAAAACTTACCAGAGGCAGAAGTTATTGTTACAATCAAGTGGTGAGAATTCAACATAGGCTTAGACATCAGGAAACAGTATTAAAAATAGCTTTCTCCGAGGTTGTTCGGGAAGATTTATGTTTAATCTCTTAAAGACGTATCTCAGTGGCTGGCTCTAGCTGTGTATGTACGTGTCTGCATGTCCTGGTTGATTTGCTCATTAGGACAAAATATCTCCATCTATAATAACGCATGTATCAGTGGCACATCAGGGTTTATTTGGGTTCCTATCGTCTATGTCGAGGGCTGCGATTCCATCACGGCTGCCCACGATGGGCCCCACAGTTGAAAGCCACAGAGCTTTGCATCACTGCCCTGGTGGTGGTGAGAGGGCTGTCGGTCTCATCTAACAGAGGAGAATCTGGAAAGGAAAGAGCTTTAGCCACTAGTGACATCATTAGAGGAACAGAACAATTAGAAAGAAAACACAGCTTCTCCTTCCACCCAGCCTGCTGCAGGGAAACTGGAAGCTTGTGGCAGCCCATGGCTGGGCCTCGTTTGGGTTCCCCATTCCGGACCCCCCACCGGTGCGGGAGCGTTCGGGGTCCCCGTGGGCTCGGCCGTGACCAGACGCAGCGACGCAGGGCTGCGCGCGCTAACGCGGCCCCTTCCTAACCAGCACTCGACGACGGCTCCTCCAGAAACGGTGCCTGACTCACTGCCGGGCTGCAGTCCAGCGTTTGCGCGCCCTCTGAGGACACCGGCCACGAACCCCCCGCGCCGGCTCGCACGCTCGGCCCTTCGTCCGCATGCCTCACGTCCTGTGTGTCAGGCTTTGTGAATGAATGATGCACACGCACTCGCAAAGCTATGCCGTTCCCGGGGGGGCGGGGGCCGGTGAGCAAGCCCTCAAGAATGCGTGGAGAATCGGACGGACTTTCCCGAAACGGCCGCGAGGCAGCCTCCGCGCGCAGCCGCTCGTCCGCCGGGGCCTCCCTCCCGGCCCGGCCGCCCCGCGCCC